AACTCCATCAGGGTCTTAGCATGCATGGCAAGAGCCCAAGCACTTGGGCCACTTCTGCTACTTTCCCAGGCACATTAGCAGAGAGCTGGATCAGAAGTGGAGCAGTTAGGATTCAAACCGGAGACAGTATCGCGTGCTGGTATTGCAAGCAGCAGCTTAACCTGCATTGCTACAGCAGCAGTGACAATACACTTTGGGATCCAGTGTCTACTTGTAAGTTCCACTGTCTTGCCAATCATTTTCTCCTTTTCCCCTTACAAGCTGGTTCCACAACCATCATTCATGACAGTGATCTCTGTCTTTGGCCTTTTCTTTTTTTAAAATTTAATTTAATTAATTTATTTGACAGGTAGAATTACAGACAGTCTGAGAGACAGAGAGAGAGGTCTTCCTTCCGTTGATTCACTTCCCAAATGGCCACAACGGCCAGAGCTATGCTGATCTGATGGCAGGAGCCAGGTGCTTCTCCTGGTCTCCCATGGGGTGCAGGGCCCAAGCACTTGGGCCATCCTCCACTGCACTCCCGGGCCACAGCAGAGAGCTGGACTGGAAGAGGAGCAACCGGGACTAGAACCGGCGCCCATATGGGACGCTAGCACCACAGAGGATTAACCTGCTGCACCACGGTGCTGATCTATGGCCTTTTGCTATCATCCTTGTGGGACACAGCACTTCTGTCTCTGTAGCTGTCTGCCTGTCTCTCTCACGGGCTTCCCTGCCTGGTCTTCCTCCCCTGCAACCCGACTCCGTCTTCAGCATTCTACTTGGTACTGTGGACACATTGCTGAGGGCAGAAGAATGAGGTTGAAATGGTTGGCTAAGGGGCCAGCCTTGTGGCTCAGGAGGTTAAGCTACCAATGATGATGCCAGCATCCCATTTGAGCACTGGTTCAAGACCTGGTTGCTTCACTTCTGATCTAGCTCTCTGTGAATGCACCTGGGAAAGTAGCAGAAGATGGCCCAAGTGCTTGGATCTCTGTCACCCACATGTCTGGATGAATATCCTGGCTTCAGCTGGTCCAGCCCTGGCCATTGTAGTTATCTTGGAATTGAACAAGCAGATTGAAGATCTCTCTCTCTTTCTTTCTCTCTCCCTTCCTCTGCAACTCTACCTTTGAAATAAAATAAATACATCTTTTTATTTTTATTTTTTGACAGGCAGAGTGGACAGTGAGAGAGAGACAGAGAGAAAGGTCTTCCTTTTGCCGTTGGTTCACCCTCCAATGGCCGCTGCAGCTGGCGCACTGCGGCCGGCGCACCACACTGATCCGATGGCAGGAGCCAGGTGCTTCTCCTGGTCTCCCATGGGGTGCAGGGCCCAAGCACTTGGGCCATCCTCCACTGCCTTCCCGGGCCACAGCAGAGAGCTGGCCTGGAAGACGGGCAACCGGGACAGAATCCGGCGCCCCGACTGGGAGTAGAACCTGGTGTGCCGGCGCCACAAGGCGGAGGATTAGCCTAGTGAGCCGCGGCGCCGGCCATTCTTTTTTTTTTTAATGCTTGAGTCTCCAAGTCTGTCCTGTTAAAGAGATGCAGCCTCTCTTTGAATTTGGTTCCAAGATTTTGTGGGTTCATCTTCTGGAGGATTTTTCCCCTGTGGTTGGTGCAGAAGGGACCTGGGGCCACCTTGCAACAGGGATGCCCAGCACCACCATCATCTGGGTCCCTAGGCCCACTTGATCTAAGCCAAGGGAGTGACCACAGCTCAATGTTATCTTGTCCAGCCCACGGGGTCTGCAGATTCCAAGTCAGGATGTGGACAATCGGCCTGGGTGGGGGGTCCAGGGTGTTCCCTTTGCCTCTCTATCTGCCCAACCTGAGCAAGTTGATGGGTGACTGTTCCAGGCCTTATCGGGGCATGAACTAGATAGGGTGTGAGAGAAAGAGAGCCAGTGCAGCATCATGAGTGTGCTCTCAGGGCTTTGTCAGGGCAGAGGCAAGGTCGGGATAAGAACTGTTCCAGGAAGAGGCCTTGGTTGGATCTTAACGAGTAAGGATGGCCGGCGTCGCGGCTCAATAGGCTAATCCTCCGCCTGTGGCACCGGCACCCCGGGTTCTAGTCCCGGTCAGGGCGCTGGATTCTGTTCCGGTTCCCCTCTTCCAGTCCAGCTCTCTGCTGTGGCCCAGGAGGGCAGTGGAGGATGGCCAAAGTCCTTGGGACCTGCACCCCATGGGAGACCAGGAGGAAGAACCTGGCTCCTGGCTTCGGATCAGTGCGGTGAGCCGGCCACAGCGCGCCTGCCTCAGTGGCCACTTGGGGGGGGTGAACCAACAGAAAAAAGGAAAACCTTTCTCTCTGTCTCTCACTGTCCACTCTGCCTGTCAAAAAAAAAAAAAAAAAGAAAGAAAGAAAGAAAGAAAGAAAGAAAGAAAGAAAGAAAGAAAGAAAGAAAGAAAGAAAAAAGAGTAAGAAGGCCCAGAGAAGGAAAGATACACCAGGAGCCAGCCCTGCCCAGCCCCCTCAGAAAAACAGTCTTACAAAGGCAGAAAAGCAGGTGCACCGTGTGTGTGTGTGTGTGTGTGTGTGTTGGGAACACAGCAAGGAAAAAAATGTGAAGAGGTTTTAGGAGTTGGAGATTTTCCCACAGGTCCCAGGAGGCATGGATAGACTTTACAAGAAGAGCTGATCAATAGACCTAGGTGATGGATAAGATGTGAGAAGAGTCAGAAAGAGAAGACTGGAGAGAGATCCCCAGGTTTCTGATTCATCAAATGTTAAAACCTCCAACCTCCTATGTTAGTGCCCTGGGTGCTCACACCTGTGACCTGTGGGTGTCCTTTGTTTCTTCTTTCCAAATCCAAGCAGCACTCCCTCCTCAGGTCCTGTCCTATGTGTCCCTCCTGTCTTTCTTGCACCTGCCACCCACCAGCTCAGAGCTTCACTGTCTGCCCCATCTTATTACAAGACCCTTCTCACGAGGCTCCCTGCCTCTCTCTCTCTCCACAATTCCAAGTCTGTCTGCAAGACAGAATAAATCACCCTGAAGCACATGATCACAATAGTCCCTTTCTCAAAGTTCCAAATGTCTTCCTAACTAAGTTCCCCCAAGTCCTTAGCTCAGCCTCTTGCCCCTCATAGCCTTGTCGTAACTCGGGATCAACCTCTCTGCTCACACCTCTTCTCCCTAGGTCCTCGTCCACAAAGCCTTTCAGCCAAAAGTGACATTTTACTCCTCCATACCCCCAAAATGTTTCATTTGGACCCCTCTTCAGGTACTGTCTTCATCCCAACATCCCTTCATTCCATATGTTCTAAGTACGCTGGTTTGCATCACGGCACTCTGCGGATGTCTCTCACTTCTGCTAGGCTGACACTCCGAGTGCAGGCAGGAAGCCTCTTTCATCCGAGCACACCCCCTGGAAGCCCTAGCCACTGCCACCCACCCTTCCCCCTCACCCCCACCCCCAGCAAACCACAGGTAATCCAAAAATAAAATGACTGAAATGAACAGAGAAATTATCATAAGTTTCCTTAAATAGTAAACTACTATAAGTGCATGCAAAATCAATTTCAATGATAGATTTAAAGCATGATTCAATATTTTTCCAGGAGCATATTAACTCTGTCAAGGGATGCACATTTATACATTTCGCATGGTTCTGATTCTTCCTCTCCCAGCACCTGCTGCCCCCCTGTTCCTATTCCTGCCTTCCCCTCCACACACACATATTCACAAACTCACACCACTCTGTGGTTTTTAAAGGAGTAGCAGTTCCTGGCCCATCCCAGTGGAAGAAGGAATTGATGAAGCCAGAACCACCACCTATAGTCAGAGGTGTGTTCTGAGACATTCTATTCCACCCCCACCAGCAACCCTCCCACGCCACACCTGCCAGCCTGCACCTACCTGACCCCCACCCAGAAGTCGCAGACCAGAAAAGCTGGTCCTGTAGAAATGCCAAGTCCCTGGAGCCAAGCACAGAGCAGGCGGAGTGTGTGGGACCTCCTTGGGGAAGGTGCCCCAGGGGCCCAAAGGGGCTCTCTGCAAAGGTACAACCAAGGTATCACTTCTGCAGATACTCAGCGGTCACCTCCAGTAGCTTCCTCACGATCTCCCAAGGAAAACATCCTTCCAAAGAACCCTACTGCTATTGAGGGGCAAGAGGCTGGGCCAGCTGCAGGGGACAGACACAGACCTGGCTGCCATCCCCAGCCGTGCCCAACTCCATTCCCAGCGCAGATCAGAGCTCTGGATTGCCCTCCTGCCTGCCATTCCAGTGCCTGCGAGCAGCCAGGGCCAGACCTCCTCCTCTTCACACTCCAGTGTCCCCTTATCAAGGTCTGTGCACAGATCAGGCTCCTGGCGCACTCCCGCCAGGGGTCCTGGGCCCTCTCCCGCCCCAATTCAGCCGTGCGCTTTAATGTATCTTCCCAGTAGCAGCGAAGACCAAGACCGTGAACCAGAGGTGGGAGGGAGATCGGGTTTTAGGAGGAAGTCACTTGTAGGGAACACAGGATTTCCCTGCCCACTGGTTCCCAATTCTCCCTGGGCAAATGCCCGGGACAGCTCGCCCCCCGCCAAGATGCCCTCTCCCCTGGCACGCGCCCCTCTCCACGTCCTCGCCCTGCACGCCTCTTCCCGGGGCAGGAAGGGGACAAGAGCTGAAGGCACGCTGGAGCGTGGTCCCCAAGGCCATCCCCGAGGGCCAGAGAACAAGAGGACAGAGGAAGAGACAAGTCGATGGCCCAGAGCGTAGCGGGGCCCCGAGTGTCCCCCGCAGGGCGTCTCGGTGGCCCGGCTGCCCTGGGCCCACTCCGTCCAGCCCTCTCCTCTCCGCCGCGCCCTCCAGTTCTCGGCCGGACTCGAGACGAGTTAGCGGCCACCGAGCGTGGGACCTCGGCTCGGCACCCCGACTCACCGCCCAGCCGGGGCTGGGGACCCGCGCCCGGCTGTGTCACTAAACTTTCCCGGGCGCACAAGACCCGGAGATGCCAAGCCTCCCCGACCCCCGCGCCCACCCGTGGCCCCGTGGCCCGTGAGGCGGGACGGTCGCTTCACCTGCTAGTGGCTCGGAAGGGGCTCCCGCTGCTTTTCTCGCGTCCGGACCCGGGCGCCGCCCGGCGGGTTCCCGTGCAGCTGCCGCCGCCGCCGCCGCCGCCGCCGCTGCTGCCACCACCGGTGCCGCCGCCGCGCCTGCCCGGAGCTGCAGCGCCGCGGTTCGCCCGCAGCCTCGGGAGGAGCAATCCCCCGCGCCTCCGGCTCGGCCCGCGGCTCCGAGGGGCCCCGCCGCCGCCGCCCCACCGCGTCCCTCTGCCCGGGGCCGGCACTCGCCCGCGCTGGGAGTCCGCACCTCGCGGCGCGGCGCTAGGCATGCAGCGAGCCTCCAGGATGGGCGGGAATTCCCTCCCTCCGGTGGATCAGAGGGGCGGGAACTCCCTTCACGGAGTGACAGCCACGAGGGGCGGGGATTCCCCTGCAGGAGTGACAAGGTGGGCGGGGATTCCCCCGAGCCAGCAGCACCGAGGCCGGGGCGTCGCTCCTGGGGAGCCAGCAGTCCTGGGGCGCCGGCCTCAGAAATCTGGGTATCCTAGGGCGAGCGAAGGGGCCCAGGGAGACTGCCGCTCAGAATTTCCATCCAGGCGGCGCTTGGGGCGCCATCCAGGTGGCGGAAGGCGAGCTAGGGGACTTGAGGTTGCCTTTGGTTGGCCCTTGACTTACTACCGAGAAAAAATGTCAATTGCCTTATCAAAGAATGGGCGGAATTTGCCTTTCCTAAGGAGATGGGGGAAGAGCTAGCCACCCATTCCTTGGCTTCTCGCCCTTGGGATACGGAAGTTAACTCAGCGCTGGAAGGGAATGTCAGGGAGAGGGGACCTCTTGGCACCTTACAGCCTCTTTCCCCCAGTCACGACCCCAGGGAAGTCCACGGCGCTTGGAAGGTGGCTTTGGTCCTTGGGAATGCTCGCCAAGAGCCCCCGCGGAGTGGGCTGTGAGAGCTAACGCTGATCGCCCTTGCTCCAGGTCACTCGAGGGACACGAACCTGCGGCTGTTTGGATTCTTATTCCCGTGGATTTTTCAGGAAGGCCTTCAAATATTTCTTTCTTTCTTTCTTTTTTTTTTTTTTTTTTTGGTCATCCTTGTCATTCTGCCTGCCACAGGGAGGGGATGATAAGAACACAATAGGGAGACTGCACAGCTCTGCAAATTAAGCTCCCTTAAGAGGAAAAAGCTGGTCTTTTTCAAGTGCTCGCAGATAAGAGTAGAAACATATGAAAAATTACAAAACCTGGGATAATGAACAGTTGAATAATGCTTTTGACATTTTCTGCAGTGCAGTAATTGGAAATCTTTGCTTTGGTGGGGATGGAGCGGGCTGTGAGCTGCTCCCGCTTTGCCCAGCAGGGCAATCAGCTCTGGCCTCTTGCAAGACCTGCACACAGACTCCACAGGGTGTCCCAAGGCGTCAGAAACCAGGTGGTCCCCAAGGCATGGTATTTTCAAGGTGGTAGTTGAGGTATTGGTCAGAAGGGGAAGCACTTGAATTCAGCTCTTCTTCAGCCTTGATAATCACCTGGCCACTGAGATCAGTTCCTGCACGAATGGAAGTATAAACTCAGGCACCCACAAACTGCTCTTCCCATCTCTAGAGAGAGAAGATACTTGCGTCGCAGGGGTGTTGTGAGGTTCAGCAGGGACACAGTTACTCAGCATAGCACTTGGGAGGTGCTCAGTGAAATGCTAACTATTCCATGAGATCATTGGGACGTCACAAAAAAGCCGTCTGGAATCAAACATGACTGCGGCTCTCCATTCCTCTCTAGACCCAGCATCATATTCCACCACTTTCCACCACAGGAGCCGGGAAGGGGTAACCTGAGTACTCAGCACTTCCTCCAACACCCAGTCAAAGCTCATTGAATAAATGAATATGCAGATGACTTTATCGCTCAACCACCCTCACAGCTGTTTTTCACACGCCCTACCCCAGGGCTTTCATTCCAGCCTTGTACAGCTTACCTGTAAATTCTGTCTCCTCTGCCAGAGTGACAGGCTCGCAGCCCTGTGCCTCCTGAAATCCCAAAGATCTTCCTCTTCCTGAGAAAGCTTCCTGATGGCCTGAGCAACGTCAGGTTGCCCCTCCCTCACGAATCATTGCAATGGCAGCACTCTGGGCAAACTGCTGATCTAACCCTTGTCAGGTGTATTAAGTTACTGTAGAATGACAGTTTTCCATCTCACTTGTATTTCTACCTTGTTCCTAAGTAAGAAAACTTAGGGGCTGGCGCTGTGGAATAGCGGGTAAAGCCCCCAATTGCAGTGCTGGCATCCCGTATGGGTGCCTGTTCGAGTCCCAGCTGCCCTACTTCCGATCCAGCTCTCTGCTATGGCCTAGAGAAAGCAGTAGAAGATGGCCCAAGTCCTTGGACCCCTAACCTACATGGGAAATCCGAAAGAAGCTCCAGGCTCCTGGCTTCGAATTGGCTCCAGCCGTTGCGGCCATCTGGGGAGTGAATCAGCGGATGGAAGACCTCTCGCTCTCTCTGCTTCTCCTTCTCCCTCTGTGTAACTCTTTCAGATAAATAAATACATCTTTAAAAACTTAAATCGTATGTGTGTTACCAAAGCCTATTGTGGCAGTATCTGACCCAATAGACATTTAATAAGTATTTGCCCAATTAAAACCAGTTATTAAGTGTATATACATGTTGTATATGATCTATAAAGGTAACATAAGCAGATGTTATGTCTCTTCTGTCTCCTTTAGACATGGTCCTATTGACTTGCTTTAAATACTCCTAGTTTCAATCCTTTTCATTTGGCATTTTCCAGATGTTTTTGGACAAGGTTTTACTTGCTACTCATAGCTTGATTCACAAGGGCAGGCATTTGGTGTGGTGCTTAAGTTGTTGCTTGAGACACCAGTATCCCTTATCAGAGTGCCTGGGTTCGAGTCCTGGCCCTGCTCTTCACTCCAGCATTCCTGCTAATGCACACCCTGGGAGGAAGCAGGTAATAGCTCAGGCACTTGGGTCCCTGCCACCTACATGGGAGCCCCAAATTGAGCGCCTTGTTCTAGCTTCAGCCTGGCCCAGTGCCAGCTATCCCAGCCATTTGGGAAGTCAGCCACAGAAGATGGGAGGTCTTGCTATCTCTCTTTTCGTCTTTCAAATAAATAAATCGAAATGTTTTTTAAAAGATCACTCAAAAGCATGGAAATTTTGTTGTGCCCTTGCAGTCATGTCAATTTGGGAAGCTGACAATTGAGGGCATTTATTTTCCAGTGTTTGGAGATCAAAATGTAAATCCTTTCTGCCTCTTTGTTAAATATTTAGTCATAGATTAGTACCTCTACCCATTGCCACTTTAATTAATTGCTCATAATACACATGCTGTGGAAGAGGTTGTATATAGAAAATCTAAGGCTTAAGAGCAAGTGAAGATTAAAATAATGAATAAAACAAAACTATATTATCCTGGGCTACAATATATTGGCAATAGGAGGATACTTCAAAAATTTGTGAAAAAAATTGAATTAAAAATAAATTTATTTTGGTGCAAAAAATTTTGAAATCTGGGCATGGTTTTTAATAATATGAATTTTCTTTAACTTTTTGAGGACTCCTTATATATAAGATTTGCAAATTTTTGTGCCAAAATAAACATCTTTTTAATTACATTTTCCACAAACTTCGGACCGAAGCATCTCGTAGGTCAAAGACTGCCAGGTACTTGCGCTGCATCCAAGTCGAGCCTCATCCACTTCAGTGGCACTTGGTTTTCCTTGTGCTTTCTGCTTTGATGAGAAGACTCTACCCACCAGGCAGCTGGGAGGAAAGTGGGGTTGCATCACCAGTCTTAAGAAGAGGGCCTTCCACCTTTCCTTCTCAGCTGCCCTTCAAGTAAGTTTCCAGGGACAGGGGAAGGAACCTTAGTCAATAACTGGCTCAGCTCCCTTTCTCCTCCCAGTCTCTGTGGGTTCATTTTATCTCCAAAACAGATTCCAGCTTCCTGTTTACCTACCTAATTACCCTTTCTGCCTTTCTTTTGCAAATTCCTGCCCACTAAATCTTCCACTCAAGGCCTCATAGTGGAATGAGCTATCCTCTGACCTCGGAAGGGCTTAAAAAGAAGAAATAAGTAACAGTGACAGTGAAACATTAATTCAGTGGATTCCAACCTGGACTTTGCTTAGGGATCCTGGGAAGACCTGAAAATAAAACTAACTCAGCCTCATCTCCTGCGAGCCTCATGCACTGGGTCTGCGAGGGTGAGGGTGGGGAATCACGGATGCTCCATTCTCAACTTGAACCCCAGTGGTTGCTATGCTGGTGGCCCACAGGGCAAATCTAGAGAGATTTGCTGCAATGCAGTAAGCCTGAGATCACATTCAGTACTTGATCGCATAGTGACAGATTTTATTTCACTTGATGAACATTTTGGAATGTTTATTCAGTCTCAGACCAAATCTCCTATTAACCAACACATAAATGGCTCTGCATTTGATGCATCCTGTTTTAAAATATATATTTAGGGGGAAAATGCAAGTACTTCTCATCCTATGCATTTTGAAAATGATGAGTTTCACTGTTATCCTGAGCATGATGTTAAAGTTTATGTGAATGTGTTTTGTTGTTTTTGGTGTTGTCTGATATTACCATGTATGTAGAATTTATGATTTTCTTCTGGGCTCCCCCTTACAGAATACACTGTCTTTCTATTTATTTAGGTAGCTAACCCAACCCATCATTTTCTCTCCTTGACTTTCAGCCTTCCATTTATACGATGGAAGCCTCAATTGCCAAAGTAATTTTTATATAATTTTTGCAGAAAAAAATGAATTACACATTAGCAAGTATAGATCAGGCATCACTTAGAATTTTCACAATTGAAACAGATGATTCAATCACTCTCTAAGATGGTAAAAAGCTGTAGTGTCAGTCCAAGTAAATTCTCATGGACAACAATGGAATCTGATTTGCCTTAGACTAGAGTTTACTTGTTCCATACATTTAAGGCACCAGAAAAACCATGCCATTAGAGAGACAGAGAGAGAGAGCAGCATAACCAGTACTTTGCAATCTGCAAATCTAAAGAGATTTGTAGTTTCACAGATATATAGGTTTTTGTCTTATTGTTGGCCTTTGTCATTATTTTGATTTATGCTAAAGGCAAGATAGATGTGAGTCTTCTTGGGGCTTGGGGCTATCATATCACAAGGGGTGCACCCAGGAAGCTGGGAAGCTTGGGTCCTCTCCCATTCTCTGTTCCCAAATTGTTGCAATTCAGTCAAATCACTGTGTTTCTAAATTTGCAGGCTATTTAGGTAAGCTATTTGCTAACTCCCTCATTTTGTGCACAACACATTCTAATCCCTAACTCCTATCTCCCCTGCTGATCACTCTCCTT